AATTTATTTTATCACTTCATGTCATGGAGGATGTGTGCTTGAAAGCTTTTGATTGTAGTTTCAACAGGACAGGTTTAATTGGGGGGGTATAATTTTCACACCCTTACACCTATTAAAATTACACCCCCCTGACCAGCGCAGGTTAACAAGGTCACAGACTCACCAAATTAATTTTATTATCACATTATGTCATGGAGGATGTGTGCAAAAAAGCATTTGATTGTAGCTACAACAGGCCGGGTTTACATGGGGTAGTATAATTTTCACAGCCTTAACTGCTACACCTGTTAAAATTACACCCCCTGACCAGCGCAGGTTAACAAGGTCACAGACGGGGGGGGGGCTTTAAACTTAGGAGTTGTCTTTGATTCTGATTTTAACTTTAAAGCTCATGTAATATTACTAAAACAGCATTTTATCATCTGAAGAACATTGCTAAAGTAAGACCATTTCTTTCTCTGAGCAACACAGAAAAATTAATGCATCCATTTATAACTAGCAGACTTGACTATTGTAATGCCCTTCTTTCTGGTCTACCAAAGAATACGATTAACCAGTTACAATTAATCCAAAATACTGCTGCTCAAATATTGACAAAACCAAAAAGAGAGATCATATTACACCAGTATTAAAGTCATTACACTGGTTACCTGTTAGGTTTCTTATTGATTTTAAAAATCTTTTATTAGTTTATAAGGCATAGACTTGCTCCAGACTATCTTTCAAAAATGCTTACAGTATATGAACCTAGAAGGACTCTTAGATCCTCTGATTATTTTCTTCTAACTGTACCTCATAGCAGAACTAAAAAATTTGGTGATGCTGCTTTTAGCCATTATGCTCCTCGCCTCTGGAACAACCTTCCAGAGAACATAAGATGTGCTGAAAACATTAATAGTTTTAAATCGAGAAAGGAAAAATTGAAATCGCATCATATGACCCCTTTAAGTTTGACTTTTTATATCACAATTTGGACTTTCAGACAATTCTGAGGACAAAAGTTAGGCTGATCATACACGGGGCAACTTTTTGAGCAATTTTGCAGAGCAACTTTTTATAAGCAATGTTGCTTGGGCACTTTTCGATTGAGAATGGGTAACAAATTTCTATCTGGATATTTTAGATCAGTCTTGGGCCCTGTCTCACCTAGTGGCCCATTGACAGCAACATTGCTCAAAAAGTTGTCCTGTGTATCATCATCCTTTAACTGCAACTTTTTTTCTTTTTTTTTTTCCAATTCCTTGTTGACATTTCATCTTGCAATTCTGATTTTATTTCTCAGAATTCTGTTTATATCTGGCAATTTTTATTTTTTTATTTCCTTCACAAAATAAACAAAAAATTAAAAAGGTAATTGCGGACTTTAATCTTACAAATTTTACTTTATATCTCACAATTCTGACTTTTTTCTCAGAACTGTGAAAAAAAAAAAAAAACAGAATTGTGAGATAAAAGTCTCGATTATCTATTTTATTTATTTATTTATATTGTGGCAGAAACAGCTCCCACAGTAAAGAGCTCCAAAGTCGCAAAAATACACAAAACTGCAAACAGTTGCTCAGAGTTGAGTTGCTTTAGCGAATCATTAAAAATATATATTTTTAAATATTTAAAAAATTGTGTTTACCATTCCTATAAAAGGCATATACTGACATTTAACAATGTTTTTACATTATGTGTATCATATGTGTCTAGGAATATAAGAAACTCAATAATTAGAAAAAAACATTACCATGACAACATTTTCAGTGCAAAAAATATCTCTTTAATTATTTACGATAACATCATTACACAAACAGACAGGATAAATAGTTTGACACTCCTCAATGTCACCTACTGAAACGTAACTTTGGTAAAAAGCAGCAAAAGAACAGATTAAATAGAAGAACCAGAGGAACCGGCAGAAGCTCGCAGACCACACGATAAAACACATTTACAAAGAAGCCAGAGAGAATTACTCGTTCACAGTTAGGAGAAAGAAAAACCGCAGAAGCCTGCTGAGGGTCATAAAACCTTGAACATGTCAAAATCATCAAACCCTCTGTCTACAGGGAAAGCAGAATTATAGTACAAGTGTTTTTAAAGCACAACGGAGAATATACAGAGAACGATCCACCTGATGTGATGGCAAACGGACCGGAAACTCAATCCATATGAACAGCTGAAAGTAGAACAATTCATTTACAGAAATGTGCGTTTCACTGAACAATACTTTCCTGTAACCCCAAATTGGGTTGCCCAAAAGATTTACTATGTCAGGAGAAACAAACATCTTTTCCAAAAAAATAAATTAAACGCGCAATGTGTTTTTGATAATGGCATACTGAATATCTAACTACACAATAAACAACTGATGAATCTATGTGAAGTGCTAATGTACTGAAGGACTTCAAAAACTGTCAGTCTGTCCGGGAAAAACACATGCAAACCACAGCAGGCACCCAATCAGAGAGCAGAGCTGAATGTCCAACATTTACATATGAAATCCCCATTTGTATGCATTACATTTACATAACCAAATCCATTCATATACAAGTCAATTGTAAGTTCAAATTCAAAATCGATCAAATTAATTTGCAATATATATTTATATATATATATGGGATTGGGTTAATACAATATACTAATAATATCATATACAAGTTGCGCAATTTCAGTTCAGTTCAAATTGCTTGCTGTATATTTTGTTTTAGTGATGCCAATCAGGTAAGACACTTTTTTTTGTAGCTGAAATTAACAATTATTTTCGGACTGTGTTTTTTAATCGTTGACTTCCTATGGGACACTTTGGAGCTACAGACGACATTGAAAGAATAAAGTGCAAATGCTACAAGCAAAAAAAGGTCTAATCAGCTACATGAACAGGTGGGCAATAATCACGCTCCTGTGCATCATTTACAACAAAACGTGAAGTGATGCAAAAAGCAAGAGGAGGAAAAAGAGTCACAAAAGACATTTCAAGTTCTGCTGTTTTATCACTATAAAGCGCCGTGAGTCGATCCGACACATGAAGTCAACAAAAATCACTCCTCATTACAACTCATGAAATCATGAAGCTCTGCTCAGATCGGCTGGGACAAAAACATGAGCATGAATATAGTGAACTGAATCAAAACAAATCATTTAAGACCAAATTATTTCACAGTAAGGCAGATGTTATGATGTTTGTAGAGGACTAACAGGTCTATCCAGCCTGCTGGATTGGATTTGTGTTTTCTAAACCAAGGCCTACTCAATTTCAAATCAACTGGGCTACATAAACTCTTATTTTTGCAATAAGTTTGCAATAATCTTTACAAACAACAGGAGACTGTTTTCATTTTTGCTATTTTGACATTCAAAATCGCAGCTGTAGTTTGGTTGGTTTGGTGTTCAGTTACAAGTGCTCTTCTGCTGTTTAACGACAAAAATAATAAAGCATGAATTATTTCATAGAGGACAAAACAGGCAACCCTCTTCAATGGCGCTCATTTGTTTCACTCCAGATGTGATCTGATTTGGGGGAAAACGCAACTAAAAGCCACAATATGCGTCACATAATACCAACTCAAAGGTTTTAACAGCAATTCTGGGTTACGAAGCGTATTAGTCCAATAAATAGGTCAGTTAGAAAGTCTCACTGTATGATTTGTAATCAAATGTCTCTCTGACGTGAGTTTTTTTTTTAATCTGCGGTCAGAACTATTTACAATTCAAAACTCCTTGAACATTCGTACATACGAAAATGCAACCTTCTCCATGGTTTAAGGGTGAATGGAAGCTATTCCATGGGATTATAAACATACCAAATGATGCCCAACGCACACGTATAAATACACTGTATTGATATGACAATTGTAAAAATCGTCTCCCTAAGCTGTGACATCAACACAGAATAACAAACCCTGTACACGGACGCTTCATACAGCACCTCCGCGGCCAGCCCTTCATGGCGAGGCATGGCAGACTGTACAATGAGAGGCGATGATACTTAAGCTATGAAGAGGTGAAGCGCTGTGGGTTTGTCTCGGGTTTCTTTGTTTCGTCTGTGGTTTTTTTAGGTGGTCTTGACCAGGTCGTACACGTGGATGTGGAAATCGTCATCGTATTTGATGTAGTAGACGGACGGCTTGGCGGGAACTTGGTAGATGACGAGGCCTGTTCTCTTCACCCCTTTATCCGTCACATACTCCACCTGCTTACCCACAAGGCTCTCTGTTTCCTCACCGGGCTTCCTGTCTGCAGGCAGCAGGTGTTTATTCTCTGTGGAAACAAAGCGGTGGAATGACTTTACTTCACAATAAAGTGACTGATTTAAAACAATTTATTCTATAAATTGAAAATAATAAATGTATTAAACATTATAATATTTAGTAAATCATGGGGTAATTTCCATTTTTGGGTGAACTATCCCTTTAATGCAACTAATATTATTAATTTATATAACTACAAACAAAACCAATAATTTAATACATAATCTAAAATTCAAAGGTTTGTGGTCGGTAAGACTTTAAGGTTTTTTTTTCTTCTGCTCACCAAGGCTGCATTTATTTCATTACAAATTCAGTAAAAACAGCAATACTGTGAAATATTTTTACAATTTCAAACTGTTTTTTTTTTCTTTGAATATATTGTAAAATGTAATTTATTCCTGTGATGCAAAGCTGAATTTTCAGCATCATTACTCAAGTCTTCTTGGAAGAGCCAGGACACCTAGGATGGCTTGAGGGTGAGTAAATCATGGGGTAATTTCCATTTTTGGGTGAACTATCCCTTTAATGCAACTAATATTATTAATTTATATAACTACAAACAAAACCAATAATTTAATACATAATCTAAAATTCAACGGTTTGTGGTCGGTAAGATTTAAAGTTTTTTTTTCTTCTGCTCACCAAGGCTGCATTTATTTCATTACAAATTCAGTAAAAACAGCAATACTGTGAAATATTTTTACAATTTCAAACTGTTTTTTTTTTCTTTGAATATATTGTAAAATGTAATTTATTCCTGTGATGCAAAGCTGAATTTTCAGCATCATTACTCAAGTCTTCAGTGTCACATGATCCTTCAGAAATCATGGTAATATGCTGATTTGCTGCTATTTTAGTATTATTGAGATACTATTATAGTTCTTAATTATTATTTTGAATCAGATTTTATTTTTATATTTTTTCCTTTTCATTTGAATTGTAAAGCTTTAGGTATTTTGTTGTGCTTTTGTAATTTTTAGTAGTTTTGTTTTTTTATATGGCTATAGTTTTTATTCATTTTTCTTTTTCTTTCTTTCTTTCTAATTCCTTATCATTTCATTCCTTATCACAATCTACAGAATAACAATTTAAAAGCACCTGATAAAAGCAGCAATTTAAATGTTATTATAAAATTAATTTATAATATTAATTTCAAAATTCATCATTTAAATTTATAATTTTACATTCGAAATGTATAATTTATTTAAACTTGTGAGAGATGTGAAAGACGACAGAAACCTTCCAGTACGGTTTTATTAAAAACGTCATCTTATTTACCTGCTTCAGGTAAAATCCGGAGGTCTCCGTCTTTGTAGTCGTCCCAGAGCTGGTACATGTAGAGCACGGGGTCCTTCTCATATGTGATGTAGTACCAGTTGGTCATGATGGGTGCTCGGGACAGGACCATTCCCCTCCACTCGTTCTTCTCTCCGTCCTCCTTCTCAAACAGATGCTCCACGGCTTTTCCCACCAGCTCCTCTGCGTCATGAGGAACCTTGATCTTGTTGTTCACTTCGAAGGGTTTGGAAACACAGCAAAATGACTAAGTGCATATTCAAGGGTGAGAGGCTGAGTTTTACAGTGATTTTAACCTGGTAAAAAGCTCTGGTTGGAATGTATATTATACATGTATGTACAGCCAAAACAGCAAAACGATATAAGTCACCTACACTACTGTACTGTTCCCTACACTACTGTGTGTGTGTGTGTTTTACATAGTATTAAAATAATATATCAAAATAATAAAAGCAAATAAACAATAGTTTACAGATTCATAGACACTGATTATTGATTATATTACATACGGTTTTTTTTTTTTTGAAACAAGTCTCTTCTGCTCACCAAGGCTGCATTCATTTGATCAAAAATACTTCGCAAAAAAGCAGTAATATTGTGAAATATTATTACAATTTAAAATACCTGTTTTCTACTTAAATACATTTTAAAATGTAATTTATTCCTGTGATCAAATCTGAATTTTCAGCATCATTACTCCAGTCTTCATTGTCCTTCAGAAATCATTCTAATATGCTGATTTGCTGCTCTAGAAACACATTTTTATTATTATCAATGTTGAAAACAGTTGTGCTACTTCATATTTTTGTGGAAAGCATGATATGTTTTATTTTTCAGGATTATTTAATGAATAGAAAGTTAAACAGAATAACATTTATTTGAAACAGTAATCTTTTATAATATTATAAATATTGTTTCTGTCCCTTTGTTGAATAAAAGTCAAATCATTTCAAAAATAGTGTACGTTCATTAAATAATTACATTTATTCTAACTAACTACTAACTAGCAACTATTCTTTCACCACGCAAAATACTTTATTAGGCTTACAAGATAAGACATTTTAAATGAAGTAAAGCTGTGCCAAACAAACAGGCACTAGAATTCTGGTAACAATATTTCATATTCATAGCTTTCTTGATGAAACCCGTATTTACTTAACAGACAGTGTAACATTTTCATATCTACTCCACTGTGACAGTGTAAATCTATGCATGTGATAATCTGACTCCATCATTTCAACTGCAAAGATCATCAAAAACAAATGTCTTCTCTTCCAAGTCAGTCTCTTTTATTTTATTTTCTGGCTATTCTAACTGTATTATGATCACTAGGGAACAGATGTGCACATCACTGCATAGTGCATACAAGTAAAAAAACACTGCAGTATGAGCAAAATTAACAGATATGCAAAAAAATAAAAATAATCCACTTTAAGATAGCAGAGTTGGGCGGCACGATGGTACAGAGTATGATAGAAGAAATGTGTCAAGCATCAAAAAATAACTACACTACAGTTTTTTCATGTGTTTGAAAGACGTCTCTTCTGTTCACCAAGGCTGCATTTATTTGACCAAAAATACAGTAAAAACAGTAATATTGTAAAATATTATTACAATTTAAAATAACTGTTTAATAATGTAATATATAGCAAAATGTAATTTATTCCTGTGATGTGCAGCTGAATTTTCAGCATCATTACTCCAGTCTTCAGTGTCACATGATCCTTCAGAAATCATTCTAATATGCTGATATGCTGCTCAGGAAACATTTCTAATTATTATCAGTGTTAAAAACAGCTGTTCGCATTTATTTGAAAAATAAATATTTTGTAACATTATAAAAGTCTATATTGTCATTCTGAACAATTTAATGCAACCTTGCTGAATAAAAGTATTAAAAACTGACTTCTAGTAGTGCTCCGATTGATCGGCTACCGATCACTATCGGCCGATAATCGCTTTGGGATGATTGATCGGCGGTCTCTAACTTGCACAGTCGAGGCAGTGTCACATCGTCACTAAAGTTTATAAATTGCATTTCTTTTTAATTCTTGCCAGTGTTTAACCATTCAGCGCTTGCGCGCTCTCCTGGAGACCGTGCGCTCATGCACACTCGCAGCACACACACATAATGCCAGGTTCACATTACTCCATTTGCAGTGTGAATGTGGTGCGTATTTTTTCAGCGCTCATGCTAACAGATTAATAAAGCGTGCACACTGCACACTATTGCTGGGCTGCAAGCACTGAATTAAAGTAACAGCGCATTTTTTTGCAGTAAATATGAACATGGATTGACACGAAAATGTAGTAATTACACCATAAATGCATATTATTAAAGTCTACTGTGTTTCACAGCCAACACATATGGCTTTTTGGCTAGGTTTAAAGGGAGAGAGCACTTTTAAATAAACAAAGCAATAATAGATGGCATTCGTGGAGGCAGGAAAACTAAGTTCTTTATGAACCGCAGGATTGCTTGTAATAAAGATATCAATGCAAAGGAAAGGCAGTAGAGCTGACTGTTTCTGTCAATGGTAAGTTTGTGATAACGTAAGAAAAGTAGTTTAAATGTTTTGCCACTTGCTTGAGCAACTTAATATATAAATCTAGAAGTAAATGCAAAAGTAAAAAGCATTGAATAATGTGTTGCTTATATTTATTGTGTTCAAACATGTCTGTGAAAGATTGTATTACTGCACTGTGTAGCCACGGATCAGTAGCGGACTCCTGTGTGAAAGCTGCTTCCCCCCTCACAAGAGCCACCTACGAGGGGAATTCCCCCCATTTTCAAAAATGAAATTCAGGCCCGGAATAAATGTCTAAAAATCCTGATTGGAGTATCACTATAAATAGTTATAAATGATAAAATGGCGGCATTAAAAAGATCGGTATCGGTAGATGCTGCTTTCTGTGATCGGTGATCGGCCTCAAAAATCCTGATCGGAGCACCCCTACTGACTTCATGCCATTACTGGGATATAGAATAATTTTTGGCCATACATATTCTTACCTAAAGTAGCACACAATGTTTTAGTATCATGATTAATTATCAGAAACTAAATTCATGCACTATAAATACTACTACCCATCTTTGCACATGTGCTACTTCCTGTCTCTGGCTTGTTTCCTGTTCGCATCACAACAGATCCACCTACTCACCCACTTTCTCGGTGAGAACTTGCAGGTTAGAGACTCTCTCGTCCTTAAAGAGCTCGATGCCATAGACGCAATCGAAGCCGTCGTACTTGACCATGAACAGTGAGGAGTTGACGCTGAGGCGGTCCAGCACAGTGCCCTTCCACTTGGTCAGCGCGCCCTTCTCCCTCCAGCTGTGTTGGATCCGTCGGCCCAGCAGGTTGTTGGGATCTGGGGTGAGACTGTCGCTCAGCTCGCCGCTGCTGCGCTTCCTGCTGAGCAGACGAAAACAGGAACGTAATAGGCTGCATTAAGTCTGGTGAAGTGCTAATCAAGGATTGTTTTACAACTCAGAGCTTATGACTTTGATTTTATCGATTTTATATTGCACAGCATTCTCTCTTAAATCATATGCCAAATGCATATGGTTTATGTAACAGATACAAATACTGTGCATTAGTCTAAAGCGATATAAAAAAATTTGTATCAGCAGTCGGAACAAACATAGTCATGATATTGAAATAAAAGTTGAACCTGTTTACTAATCATAATAATTACATAATATAAAATATAACTTAATATATTAATTATAACTTCATTATTTTAAGATGATAAATTTATCATTATAAATATTAATATCATCATTTCATTCAGCAAGGATGTATTAAATTGAACAAAAGTGACAATAAAGTCATTTATTATGTTACAAAAGGTTTCTATTTCAAATGAATGCTGTCCTTTTGAACTTTATATTCATCCAAAAAAAAAAAATCCTGAACAAAATGCATCACAATTTCCACAAAAAAATGAATCCGCACAACTGCTTTCAACATTGTTAATTACAATAAATATTTCTTGAGTAGCAAATCAGCATATTAAAGGGATAGTTCACCCAAGAATGAAAATTTAATGTTTATCTGCTTACCCCCATGGCATCCAAGATGTAGGTGACTTTGTTTCTTCAGTAGAACACATTTGATGATATTTAACTCCTTACGACTGGTAGACTGCAACGGCTGGAGTTAAAAATCATCATTTGTGTTCTACTGAAGAAACAAAGTCACCTACATCTTGGATGCCCTGGGGGTAAGCAGATAAACATCAAATTTTCATTCTTGGGTGAACTATCCCTTTAAGGCTTATTTCGGAAAGATCATGTGACACTGAAGACTGCAGTAATGATGCTGAAAATTCAGTGTTGATCACAGAAATAAATTACATGTTATAATATATTCACATAGTAAACAGGTTTTTAAAATATAATCATATTTCACAACATGACTGTTTTTACTGTATTTTTGATCACATAAATGCAGCCTTGGTATCTTACTGACCCTAAATAAAACACATTTATCTTCATAATCTTTCATCAAACTTGCTGACCTTACAAAGTCCTTTTATTTTTCAACCACCTGGCTCACTTCTGATCTGTAACAGCCACTTTTCACAATCCAACCAATTCCAAAACAATTCCCACCCTATATTTTTCTTGATTATCTTATTTCGATCATCAAGAAATACATCACATTGACTCTACAGGCGCCTAATAGAAATAAATACTGACAAATATGTTGAAAAACGTTGTCTACTCACTCACATGAGATGAAGAATGACTACCAACTTTACTTACACAGTAGCCACGTGGCTGACCTTTCAATAAAACTCCCAGCCTCTCACAACTGACTTTAGTTCAGCCGAGCACAAGAGTTCGGAGCTCAGTTTAATCATTCATTGCTACCGGTCTGCGTCTGTCACTCAACATTTCTAACGCTCAAAACACATTCCTGGAAATGTCACAGCATAATCCGGCCAGCTACCAAAATATTCTTATCAGCCTGGAGCTGCTGATAATCTAAGCGTGTGCATAAATAGACAATTTTGGACTATATTGTGTATATTAGTGGTCGACCAATGTGGGCAGATACAGAAACATATCTGGAGACAATGTAGTATATAATACAATGTACTGACAGCAAATAAGACGTATACTTGAAACTTATTAGTCAATGATTCAAAGGAATGGTTCACCCAGAAATGAACATTTGGAGGCCCTCTAAGAAGTAGATGAGTTTGTTTCTGAATTGGAGAAATTTAGCTTTACATCACTTGCTCACTAATGGATCCTCTGCAGTGAATGGGTGCCGTCAGAATGAGAGTCCAAACAGCTGATAAAACCATCACAATAATCCACAAGCAATCCACACAATTTCACAGGATGTTAACTGGTGGACTGGTGTGGTGTGGATTACTTGTGGGTTATTGTGATGCTTTTATCAGCTGTTTGGACTCTCATTCTGACGGCACCCATTCACTGCAGAGGATCTGTTAGTGAGCAAGTGATGCATGCAATGCTACATTTCTCCAAATCTATTTTGAAGAAGAATCTTAGATGATCTGAGGGTGAATACATTTTCAGCAAATTTTCATTTTGGGTGCACTATCCCTTTAAGTCACTGACTAAAAGTGATCGTAATCCAAAGCACATCAATGTATATATTGCTAAAATTAATTTACTATGCTATTTACATGTTACACAAATACTGGTATCCCTGCAACGTCATCATATATCAAAGTACCATGGTATTGCCATTCTAATACAGCACATTTATATTGTTTTTACTCACCTGCCCCTTTTCTTGGACATGTTTCCAAAACCTCAAACACACCTAGAAGAGAAAAATGACAAATTTACAAATAAACCAACAGGTTTGCTGGGTCTTGGTTTCAGGCAAGACACTACAAGCAAAACCATTGCACTGGTCAATTTTGAGATTTTGGGCTATTTTGCTTCCATGACATTTCATTTATCCACTTCAGAAGCATTTACACAGACCAGTCTTTACAGGTTTATTCCTATCCTGAACGTTTTTACAGAGTTAGTTTTTTATAATATATCATTTACCTATTTTTATACAACATTTTATTAATAAAAAAACATAGTGAAAAATGGTACTGTTTAATCAGCTGGGAAGTATGGTGAAATCTGTTAGTTAAAATGTTTACCTGTGGTGTTTTTGGGGTTAAGAGCAGTGAACACAACTGCAGATAATACTTTCATTTCAGTATACAGAAACTGATGGAGTGTCAGCATACGGCTGGCCACATGATTTTGACAGCTCCATTCAATCCTAAATCTACTACATTAGTTGAAATGGTAATTTTGTTCAAGTATTGTTAAACAGATGTGACTTGTGTATGTTACATAGTCATAGTGTATGTAACGCCACGTTGTCTTATGTTATTTTGTAGCCTTGCCACATTAATCTGGCCTCTGATTGGACAATGACTCAACAGCGCCCATGTTGCAAAATTACATCGAATCTGCGGCATGTATTCATGTGTTTATGGTTTAATACCGAGTTAAAGTGGACGTGGAATCCCCGCCAGAAAATGAGACATCCTCAATATTGCGGCATAATAGAGGCCGGTTTATTTTTCATGTCTTAATATGTGAAAACTGTGCTGTTTCTGCATATATCGTCCAATATATAACATTCACATCCTAACTACCATACCAGACTTCAGAAATGCAACTAAATAAGTGTTGAGAATCTATAAAAAGCCACAGAGTCGGTTCGTTTCGCTGCTTCACATGAAAACCACCAACGCAGCTATAAAACGCTTGCGCAACCGGCCAAGTCCGCTTTACCTTCGTATTTAATCGTCATACACACTCTAAATTCCACGTGGACGTGTGTTTTTGTATAGATTGTAAGAAAAGCAAGATTACCTGGCCTCTATTTTCATGTCTATGATGGACTTCCCTCTGCAGAGATCCTCATGTATAATGATCCTCCAGATGTCAGGCAACAAGCTGGCAGTGGCACTGCCTGTTTAAACTACAACTCCCATAATGCATTGTCGCTGACAATAGCGCGAACAGCGGGCAGGGAATTCTGGGAAATGTAGTTGAGAGGGTGCGTGAACTCAGAAAGGGGCGGATACGCATTCTTCCTGTGTCTTCTGTTTGACGGCCACTGTGTAAATGATAAAATAAAAGCCAGTTATACAGGAGTTACTAACGAAACACCTGCATAAATGTCATCAGAGATGATAAAATCTATCTGGATGTTATTGTGAATCTTATGGGCGGGTTAATGTTTACTACTTTTATGAGCACTGACGGAACTACATTTCCCAAAATACACCAAGACTTGTCTTTGTCATTCCTATGGTCAGATTTGTAGGAATGGGCCTTTGCTTTATTCATAATATGGACTTACATTTCTGCCACAATTCTGCGCGAGAAAGATCATATTTTGAGCGCACAAACGTGCATTTTGCACGCGCGCGATCTGAGTTTGTGGAGAAAATGTTCGTTTCGCAAAGAAAAAAGTCTTTCGAGCGCACGGAAATCAATTTTGCATTTAAAATACGTTTTTGGATGTGTGCAGACCTTCTCTTTTGCCCATGCAACGT